GGAGCTGTCGGTGTGGGGCACCCCGTCCCCCTCCTCTCCGGCAGGGATGAGGCTGGACAAGAGGATGGAGGGGCCCACCAGGTGGGCATCGATGGCTCGCACCCGGCCCCCGCGCTTTGTCTGCACAGCGAACCTGGGGCTGAGGCAGGGCGGCATGGTGCTGGAGCGGCGGCGGGGGCCGGGGTCGGGGCGCCGAGGCAGGCCCAGGCAGGAGAGGGCTGGCAGCGGGGCTCCCAAGCCATGGCGGCGCTGGACCAGCGAGGCGGAGGGCAACCCAGCCTGGGAGCGTCGCCTGGCCTTGCCCGTGGGCACAGCCACCACGCTGGCACGCCGCAGCCCCTTCCTCCCAAAGTGCCGCCTGAAAAAGGTTTCCATCACACACCAGATGGTGGCTGTTAACACAGAGACCAGGAATTAAATAGGGTCCCTTGTGAGTCTCCGGGTGGGCTGTGGGGGTCACGTCAGAGGGATGGCAGGGGACAGCAGGCAGGAGTGAAGAGAGGGGGACATGGGGATGCCACCCAGGGCACATGGCAGGGTTGGGACCCACTTGCTGGGTAGACACACTACTGGGGCTCCTGCTCCCCACAGCTCCCCAACTCCTTGAGCTTCACGGCTCAGCCCAGGGTGCTGCAACGGCAGGGCAGGTGTCACTGCCTGGCCGAGGCTCTCCATATCCCCTGCTCACCGCTGTGGGATCAGCAGAGCCCCTGCACCCCGAGGTGACCATCAGTCCTGGCAACTACACCCACCACACTCCTGGTGCTGCTGGTCCACCTAGTTTCCCCATGGGAACTGCTCTGGCTAAGCACCAGCCCCACCAAATTTGCAGCAAATGGAAACTGAATCATAAAGAAAAAAACAACTGGGCAAGTAAAAGCAGGGCAGGCAGATTTGATAAAAGGTGGCTGGGGGAGCTGGAGGCTGGGAGAATGGAGGAGGGCTAGGAAAAATCACCCCAGCAGTCCCGTGCAAAACTTCCCTCTCCTGGTCAAAAGAGCTTTATCAGGGCTCTCAAGCCTTCTCTGCCCAGCCCTCAAAACTTGACAGGCTGCCCAGACACTGCAGCCGTCCATGGAAAGCTCTGGGCCACAGGTGGAAGGTGCTGCAGCAGTTTCAGTGCTGGAAGCTCAGCATGCAAAGGCTGGAATTGGAAGGGGCTGAATCTGGCTGACTCCGATGCTCCCCTCCTCCAGAGCTAGTGGTTCACTTCCCACCCTCCAGCTGCCGCCTCTCTTCAGCCACTAAATACAGAGGATTTATTTGAGGGCAACTCAAAAAAAAACCCACCAAGACCCAGTTTGAGAGAAGTAACCTTCTGGATCTTCAGCTGCTTCCAAAGCAGGGCACTCTGGATCATGCCAGCCTGCAGGCACACACAAGCCACCACCATCACTCTCAACAATCTCCACACTGTACAAGGTAGTGCCTCAACCCATCACAGGAATATGGGCATGCTGCACATCACTGCACTAAGACTAGCATCTGCTCCACTTGCTTCTTCCTTCCTCCCTTCTCATGCTTTTTTATTCACTCACTTGTGGGTCATCATTATCAGAGGACCTTCAGGAGAACACCCTGGCCGAAACCTCTACTGACCCGAGGTCCACATGAACAGACAAATTTGTCAGAAGCTTCCCTTTTTGTTTGGGAAATGCATGTAAGATGGGACATATGTGTTATTTTCTAGGCCATAAACTGGAGCTTTTGCTTAGTGCCTGTACCACAAGCAACCCATTGGGGTGTACCTCTGTCTTTTAGATGAGTACAAAGCTGAGCTTGCATTTTTGGAGAAGGCCAGGCTTGGTTTGGTCTCCTCCAGCCTGGTAGGCAAGGAAGCCAGCTCCTTAGTTTCTACAGTCTCATTGCCATGCCTGTACTCAGTAACACAGCACCAGGAGGGAAGGAAGGGCAGCAATGCCCTCCAGAGAGCAGCGTCAGGGCAGCTAAAGCCTGGTTGAACTGAAAGCAAAACCAAAGTGCCACCTCCTCAGAGGGACTTCTCAGGTCCCATCACAGCGAACAGTGCAGGTACATGGTCACCAGCAGGTTAACTATCACACCACTGAGGCACGTGCAGCTTTGCAGAGGGTGAAAGCACATTTTGCTGCTCACCCGGCTTCCAGCCTGTCCTCGACACTGCAGTGCTCCATTCCTGTCCCTTCTACCCATCCTCTGCAGGATGATGCACACTAAATGTAATACCAATAGGTGTTAAAATATGTCTGAATGAATAAAATGTTTAAAAAATCAAGACAGAACACTGCCTGGGTGTGGCACATTGCAGCAGAGCCTTTTTGGTCGGCTTTAGCTGCTGGGTCAGATGTACTGTCCGGCTACAGCCTGAATGGGCTGAACAGATGCTCCCTCCTGCCCCAGATATTTCACTAGCAAGAAGGTGCTGTAGTGCTTGCTGAGCTGCTGCTATGGGCAGGAAGATCTCTCAACACAGTTTCCTTCCTTTTTGCACAACAGTCTCATGAGGAAATCTGCTAGAACAACCTTGGCTTGACATTTATGTTTGGGTACTAGCTGATTACGGCTCTTTTTATCTTCAGGCACATGGACTCACGCTCCAGCCACCAGTGGTGAAGGTTATTACCAGGCAACCATCTGACAGCCCACAACAGCAGCACGTGGCAGCTCAGATACGATGGGTGAAGATAGCCCCAGCTCTCACAACTTACTTCCAATCTGAGCTCCAAATGGTGTATCACAGGTGTTGAGAGCTGCCGCTGTCAGAGCAGATAGACAGACTGCTGGGGGTGCCCAGGCTTGATGTGCATCAGCAGAGCTGCGTGCAGAGCAGCTGGGGAACCACGCACCGCGCGGAGAAGAGCCAAGCCCTGGAAGACCCTGGCCTAACACCATCACATCTTGGGAACCTCCACTGTTTGTCAGAGACAAGCCAGAGAAGAGCTGGCACCCGTGGCTGCTTTGCAGACTGCATGGCTCAGCTCAGTTAGGTAGGGAAGCTGGACAGAGGCAGCCTGGCATTTGCAGGGTGGGAAAGGAAGTACTGCTGCACGCACTAGGACATCGACTTATGAGCAGCTATGCACTATCATTTCAATCTCTGTCTGTGAATGAGGAAGAAGACAGCAGCTCTGGTCTGCTCATGATCTACAATCAGAGCTCTTGGAAGGTGTTTTGTTTCTAACCAGACCCCTCAGAAGTCCTCAGCATCCTGCGCTCCCTGCCTGGCATTGGTGGGCAGAGATGCTGCTGAAGCAGGAACATGTCCTGGAGTGCAGGCAGGCACCAGCGCTGCCCTCAAGAGATGGGGGAGGAGGGGGCTGCTACAGGAAGCTCCCTGGGCACTCAGAGCAAGCTGCAACCTCTTACTCTGAGGACAGAACTAACCTCAGTGGCAGGACCTCAATGTCCTTGGAAAGTCAAACAGGGATCTAAGAGGAAAAACTTGCATCTTGTTACTTCAGTGGACAGAGAGCTCGTAGACTGGCTGATGAGAAGATCCTGCTCTCTGGACAGCCAGCAGCCATCCCTCTGGCGGTGATGGTAGCTCCAAAACCAGACAGGCTGACTCCTAGGGCTAAACACGCAGTGTCCCTCAAGGCATAGGGTCTGCCCATGTCAGGAGAAGCTGCTTGATATTCAGCTCTATTATTCTGCTTTGCTTCACTAGCCTCAAGCAAACTCCCACATACCATACTGAACAGGCCCTCTGTGCCCTTAGACACGTAGGGGGATGCTGCGCCACACACCTGCTTGGTCCTTCCTCTACATTATTATTCTCTCTGTCCCTCCAACAGCCTGGTCTGCTCCTGCCAGCGCCCAGAAGCAAGAGAGATTCCAGGTTACCTTCATACGGTGCCAAATCTGGCACCCCTCTCCTGGCACTAAGGGTGGCAAGAGAACCCTACTGCAGGACACTGCTGGCACCACAATGCACAAGCCTTGAGCCCTAGAGAAGTCTGGACTTGAAAAACACCATCAACTCCTCCTGACCTTTCAGCAAACCTCCAGTTAGTTGATTGGAAAGCATTTTTTCCAACC